CGTTTGAGCGATGGTCGCCTACTGTACAAAATTTTAATTAAATATAGGAATTGCAAAATAATTCAAAATCCTGGTTAGTAAAACAAGACGTGTGGTCGACACGGATAGAAAAGGGAATGCCATGTAAATAAAAGTTATCATGAATGAAATCAATCAACGTTATAGTTGAAGTGGAAGATGTGATTTTAGCCGAGGGACATTTTAAAATTCTGTCAATGCATCATAAGATATGTTTATTTGTTCCCCAGCTAGAATCAAAAAGAGCGGTTAAATCAAGATTTAATTCTTCGCTAGGCTCCGATAACTGTGGTAATTCGCTGATTTGAGTACAAGGAATATTACTTTCTACGTTCTCACCAGTTTTTGTGCGTTTGAACATTTTTACCGTGAAAATAAATTTGACGGTTTATATGAGGCCACCATATATACTGAGTGAGGTATTTCATGCCGAGTTGTCCCGGATGGGCCTCATGAAGTGCCTTCATAACTGCGTTTCTTAAAGTAAAAGGGATTACTAGTTTTCCGTCCATGTAGAGTAATCCATCGGATTCATGAAGATCTCGAATGAACTGGTTTTAGTAATGGGATTTTGCATTTATCTTGTCTAATTTATCTTGAAGAGGTTTGACGATAGAACTTAGCATTGGATCTCCCTCTGTTAATAGGGCTTACAATTTAGCGTTGAATAAGGTGTTTAAGTCCAAAGGACGTTCAGGTAACTTCAGATTCTCTCGGTATTTATTCACATGTTTTTTTTTAATTTCTGATGAAAAAGAGAATTCGACTGAAACTTGGATACCGGAAGTGAAATAATTATTTACAATTTGATTATTGGACATGTAACAGTTTTTACAATTAAGAACTAGAAAATATATAAAAAACTCAATTTGATAAAGAAATTTTTAATATTTGAGTTAATACTTGAAAACTCCGAAGGAATACATTTGGAATTGTAAAATTCAGTTGTGTTGGGGTTTAAGTTACAAATTGGAACAGTCGAGTTAATGAACCTTAGAACTGAAGCAATAAGGTAATTACGTAATCGTGCTAAACTGGAATTTTCCAAATTTGAGCCAATAAAATTGAAATTCATTTTTCTGTTATCTGTTGCATATATTGCTTCGTTGATTTTATTGAATGTAGCAACGACAAATTCTTCGTCGTAATGGGATGCGCAGATTGCTTTTCCTGATGGGATTCTTGAAATTAGATCTGTGAAACCCATATGTTTCCCTGCCAGGTGTTTAATTGTAAAAATCGACCCATCTAGTTGGACGATTATGATATGTTTTACTTCCGTAGTTAGGTGAAAGTGTTGGAAGAAGGGTTTTATGGTCAGAAATGATTTCAAATTCCTAGGGTGGAGGTAATTATAATAATTCTCGACTGCCCAAACAACTCCCAAAAGTTCCAATTCATTTGTGGAATATTTAGATTCATGCGGATTCAGAAATCTTGAAGTGAAGGAGACTGTTTTCCAGTCATTCCCGTGGAGTTGTTTTAACGAGGCTCCGAGTCCGTTATGAGATTCATCTTTTTTTACTCTCGTATTACGCTTTACGTCAAAAAGTGTATTTTCTGCAAGATTTACTGTTTCTTCTTTAATCTTAAATGCTTTTGCTTGCTCTTCATTGCAACGGAAGATTGATTTCTTTTTTAGCAATGACCTTAAAGGACTTCCCAGGGTTGCCAAATTTAGAACAAAATAAAAGTATTGGTTTGTTGAACCAAACAATGATCTTAGTTTCTTAAGATTTTTTTTTGGAATTGGTAAATCTTTGAAGATTTTTTTTTGGAATTGGTAAATCTTTGATGGCTCAAGTTTGTCCACTAATGGAGCCTTTCCCGATTTGGATATTTTGAATCCGAGTCTTTCTATTTCTTTTAAAAAGAATTAACATTTTGGTCATTTAACGGCAAAACAAGATAAGTCTAAAATTGATAAAGTTTTGTAAACAGTATTTTTCTGTAAAACTTCCTTTGGAAGCCATCAGAATGTCGTCGAGGTAACAATTTGTAAAATTTTTCGATTTGGCTATAAGCGTTTTTTAGGTCCAAGTTGGTAAACCAAACTTCTCCGGTGGAATCGTTAGAAACTTGAGCGGCAACATTATCAACTAATTCATGTATATTAGGCATTTGATTTTTGTTCTATTTTCTTGTTGATAAATCTCGAGTCAAGTGCTAATTTTATCGATTTGTTCTTTTTTGAAAGTGATAACGATTGGGGTGATGAATCTATATTCGTCACATTTTGCTAAATTTTTAATGTGTCCTTAAGATGTAAGTTGGTCTAGTTCCGCTTTTATCCTATCGAGTAAATGAACACGTCTACCTTTCAGTTCAATTGGTTTTAGTGGTTCACGAAAGTGGATAATTTTCGTTAGATTTTTTCCCCAATCCGAAGGAATAATTGTTCAAAATTCTTAATTATAGTATCTATCTCTTTTTGTTTCCCGGCAGGGGAAATTAAATATTTTGACTTACAAGTCTTCTTTTTCTGGTATCAGGAAAATATTTCTGAGAGACTTCAATTTTGGCAGATTATCGTTTCCTAGAATTTTTCCCTCGTGGCCTTCTGTTAGGAAAAAGTGACATTCGTTGTGAGATCATTCGTTCGAAAAGATTGGTATTTTTAACTTGCACGTGCTGTTGATTGCGTTATCTGTAAATCCACAAAATAGATCTTTCGTCGGTTGATCCACCGGATAAATCTTCAGGTACGGGTCTCATAGTTTTAATTCATTAAGTTAATTCCTCTTGAGGAAATTCACAGGGCTGGCGGAGTTGACCTGTATAAGAAGGATCACTTGGTTTTCTTTTCCGAGCCCGGTTTTAAGTAATTTCTTGTTCTTTCCCTTCGATATCATAACTAGTGGTTTCATTTAATACAGAGTAATCATCGTAGTCGCTCTCTCCGGATTCTGACCATGCGTTGATTATTCCACAATTTTCTCTATTTAAACGGTCATTATTTTTTTATTCGGTTGTTCCGATGGATAATTTCAATCTATATTATGTACAATATGACTATCTATATTTACAATTTTACGGTGAGTTTTACAAAGTCCTGTGGTAAAATGTCTGTAATTACAGGATGTACAAGTTGTTTTTTGCTAGACACACCGCCAGGTGACCTTTGGAGAATTTTCCGTCGCATTTCATACAAGTGTTACTCCGCTCGATATTTAGAGTTGGTTCCCTTTTTACATTAAACTGATGAAAATGTTTATTTACAGATGGTTCGTTGGATTTAAAAGTTTCGTCATTTTCATGTGGTTTGTTATTCCTTTTTCATCGATTAGTGCCACGTTTAGTGCTTCTAGGGTTGGGAGGGTGTCAGTGAGAAATTTCCGTTGGATGTCTGAGTTCTTCAGATTGTTAATAAAAATGTCTCATATTCATTAATCTTCTGCGTGTATATCGCATTTCTTTGCCATTTCGACAAGAGCTCCCCAAAATTGTTCCAGCGATTCTCTTTATCTCTGTTTTCGTTTTAGGAGTTTATGTCTCTTGAACTTAACATTCGTTTGCCTCTCAAATGATGCGGACAAATTGTCCCAGAACTCTCTGAAGGATATTTGAAGAATTTTCACTCGTGTATGTTTTGGGATGAAAATTGTTTTGCCTTCGTTTCCGCCGTAGAGAATGAGTACTTCAAGGTTAGAACGTCATTAACAGTTATAATAATTTGCAATTAATTAAAATGGTAGGATACTGCAATTCAAAACCTACTTGTTTTTAATTGTGTATTTGAGACGATTTGAAAAAAGGATAATTTTTTGCAAAATTAAGTAATTTGTACAATTTTCAAAAAAGTGTTACCATTGGACAGACTGGCTACACTCATACGTGCCTGTAGATCGCGCTAGTCTATTAACCCTACGCCACGTTCTTTGGCCTTCGAGCATGTAAATGGGGGAATTTTTGACCTACTATCTTTACATCTTTTTGTTCTCTCGAAAATTACCCTGCGAAATCTGAGAGCAATCAAAAGAACAGGTTTTGGAAATTTTACTATAGTTACTTTAGTTACTAGGGCGTAACCAGTGAAACCATAGTAAAAATTCCACAACCTGTTTTTTTGATTGCTCTCAGATTTTGCAGGGTATTTTCTGATAGAATTTGACCCTTTTTTGGAAAATTAGATTTTTCTCGTAAATTACCCTGCCAAACCATGCCAAATATTCTGTGCTTCTTCCACAACAATTGAAGTTAGGTGTCTCAATTTTTGTTTCGGCTATTGAAAATGGGAATGAATTTTGGACTCGGGTGTTTTTTATTTTGTTTTTTCTCCTCTTTTCCTTGCAATATCAGGTACAATAAATAATCTTCGGAATGCGTCGATTGATAGATCATATTAAATATATTTCAACCGCAATTTAAAAGACATTAATTTTTTTTCCACAAAATCTTGACAAAAGCCGGTTTGAAGTTTTTGAGTTGCAGTTTAGCTTAGAGCGAGTAAAGCGATCGGTTAACGTCGTTTTCTGAAAATTTAGGGCTAAGAAATGTTAAATTTTCTAAAATGAAAACTATTTGGCGCTTCCTGGACAAAAATTTAGCTTCATTTATCGCGCTACCTTTATTTTTTAAAAATTATTGTGAAAAAAAAAATTAAAATTTTGAATTCTTTTTCTGCTTTTGTTAATTCAGTTTTTCGGAGAAATAATATTTTTATAATTTTTTATCACATCGTTTAAAAAAGAAAACAACTTCAATATGAAAAAAGAAAAGAATGTTTTTTTTGTTGCTGTTTTAAATGGTCGCGGAACATTCTGTGCTACTTGCGCAGCAACCGGCTATGTTTTTGGTTGTGTAAATAGTGTAAACTAGTGGCAATACAAATATTTTTTCTCAGCTACAGAGGAAATAGTCATTTTCAGCCGCATGTTTTTGGCAAATAATTTTGTTATATTTTTAGTACAGGTACGCTACACTAACATGTTGAATGCAATTACAATGTCGTATAACTGTTTCCTTTTTGAGATACAGTAAATAAACACGGTTGGGTTGAAGCTAGTTTAAAAAGCTTCTTTTCAGCAAGGTGAGAAAGAGAAGAAAAACGAACCGCGTTTTTACTTCCTTTTTGGTTTTAATCAACGGCAGTAACAGGCAAGTTCAAATTTTGAAACCGCTGATATTTCAAATATTTTGCATGTTTCATATTTTACTTTTTGCATCTTTGCAGGTATTTTTTGGGCGACTGGAGCGCACTTTCGAAATACTTTGGTGATCTTTAATAACAACCATTTATATTCTTTGAAGTCCACAGAGACCATATGCACCGCATGGTTGATCTCATATATATTTTTTAAAAGAAGATTTTCTGAAACGTAGTTTTTGACCACAAGCGACAAGGCTACGTTTGGCACTTTGAATTTCAAAAAAAATTTCAATAAATTCTAAATTTTGAAACAATTTCAGGCAGCGCGGCAAACAACTTACGACAACTCGAACGGATTTGACTCGCAAGAGACCAGCCCAATCCCATGGAAGCAAAAGATTCTCCCCCTGGCTACTATGCAGACCCTTCGATCAACCCGCCGCAGATGGGTTACAGTAATTTTAGCGGGAATCACACAGAATACGCGGTGAAATGATCGAACATTGCACGGGATAATTTTTCAAAAAAAAACGACTCCGTATTCAATTAAATGATTCATTCGTTTGTTGCATGTTGCGTACCAAATACACACAGGGGCGGATCTAGAATTTTCTCGAGGGGGGGGGCGGATTTTCAAAAAAATTTCCAAAATTTTGACGACCTTTTTTTTTTTTTTTAGTTCGACCAAATTGATTTTTCGAGCTCTCCCAAAGCACTGTTTTGCCCCTATTACGGCAAAATTTTCTGCGCCGCAGCCAAATTTTCGAAAAAACAGTAAAAAAGCCGTTTTTGGGCACTTTTTGAAAAATTTTGACAAAAAAATCGCGTTTTTTGGCGCGCGCTCCCCCTCAAAGTTAGTATATATTGGCGCCCAAGGCGCCGCTAGAAAAATTTTAGGGTCGGTCTGCCAAAAATGTATTTCTGAAAAAGTATCAAAGAGGGGACCCTTTGGGTCGGCAGGGGGTCAAACTCCCAAAGGGCGTCCCCCCCATAAATCCGCCCCTGAATACACACAACGTTATTTGAACAGCAAATCAACAACTAAATAGTGACTAAATAGGGGGATTTCCGCTAAATTATACAATTTATTATCAAAAGTTTTGCCTAATAGTAATCCCCCGCACGCTATTGTAATTTTTTTTAAGATCTAAGCGTAAATTTGGGCCAACCTATGTGTGCGAAAAATTTTGTGGGAGCAAAACAACGAATTTCATCACGACAACCACTCCAGTTATCGACTTTTTTGAATTTTGAAAAAAAATTGCTAACTCGGTACATTTCTTAATTATACGTGCGCTCTGCCGATTTTTTAGCACTTCTACAATTTTCGGTAATTGTTATGAAAGATTCTAATTTTTCATTTTTTTTCTGGTACGATTTTCAATTTTTGTTTCAAACGTACTCTCGATTATCAAAATCAGTAACAAAGACAAGCACAGGCTGACGAGTAGGTTCTACAACCTTGTCAATTTTGTTCACGAAATTGAAAGCATGATCGAGTTTTCCAGCTTACCAGAAGGTTATGTTGCTTCTATTCAACATCATAGATACTTATTTCTGCATAAATTATGTTGCAAGACACTATTTTTTTTTCATTGGCTAAAAAACGTAGCCAACTTTTTTTAAACCAGTTTTTTGCGCAAAAAAAGAGCTGGGGTAAAATTAATTTAAAATAAACTTGTTCTGTTTTCAATAGGTACGGTTTTAGGCGTTGAAGATAACGTCTGTGCGCCAAAAAAATATTACCATAAAACACTGAAGGGAAACAATATTTTTTCTAGACAGCAACCAAGGCAGTGTAGCTTAAATCAGTTACAGATGTTGAACTATTATGAAAAATTAGCCCAACAGGGTTTTCAAAATCATTTCGCAGAGCGCACTTATAACTTAGATTTTTTAGGTAGAGCGCACTAATTAGTACTTTATAATTTTTGTAAAATTTACATCAAACGTATTTTTGATCAAGTAAAGTTTTAATAAAATGTAGTAAATAAAAGGTTGCTGTCGTTAGATGCGCAAGTTTTGGGGTACTGACAGAAAAATGAGGCAAAAAAATGAGAAAGTTTTCTCGACAGAGCGCACGTATAACTTATTTTCGGTAAAGCGCACCCTATAAATATAGTAATTTCGGCAGAGAGGACACATAAATATATAGATTATTTATTTATTTATTTGAATTTCGCAATTTGAAGTTTTTTCAAAAAACAAGTCACTATATATATATATATATACAGGGGCGGATTTAGGGGGGGCGGGGGCGGACGCCCCTCCCCTCAGGGATTCGACCCCCTGCCGACTCAAAGGGTCCCCCCTTTGATACTTTTTAAGACCGACCCTAAAAATTTTCTAAAGGCGCCTTTGGCGCCAATATATACCAATTTTGAGGGGGGAGCGCGCGCCGAAAAAACGCAATTTTTTGGTCAAAATTTAAAATTTTCCAAAAGTGCCTAAAAACGCCTTTTTTGACCTGTTTTTTCAAAATTTTGCCTGCGGTGCAAAAAATTTGGCCAAAGTAGGGACAAAACCGTGCTTTGGGAGGAGCTCTCGAAAAATCAAGAAAATCAATTTGGTCGACCTAAAAAAAAAAAAAGGTCGTCAAAATTTTCGAAAATTTTTTGAAAATCCGCCCCCCCCTCGAGAAAATCCTAGATCCGCCCCTGTATATATATATATCATTTAAATCATGATATCATTTAAAACTACTTCTGCCTTTTCAACTACTAATCATTTCACTGAATCTTCGTCACAGACGCACCTTCCACCGCCCGTGCCACCGGGCCACGAGTTTGTTGCCGCCCAAGGCGAGCGACCGGCCAACTGGCGTACAAATCGGGCGTGTCGAATTGTGGCAGGAATATTTGTGACAATCGCTATGATCATTTGTGGGGGTACATTGCGGTTTGGAATAAGAAGACTATTTTATGATGACTAAATGGAAAGTTTCTTCAAAGAGCTCAGAATTATGCTGCAAAATTTATTATTTCGATTTATCCACTATTAGATTCAAAATCTGCTTCCGTAATTTTCCATAGCCGGGTTAACAGTGTCGAGTTCAATCCCTTTCTTAAAATTCAACTAATTTACTTAAAACTCTTTTTTAAATTTATATGTAGCTTCTATTTATTCTTATCTATTATAATTTTGAGACTCTTGTCTTTGAGACAGCGCTGGCCTTTCATGTAAAAAGGAAAGTCTTGGTCGAAATTTGTCTTTATCTTGACCTTTGCTCCCATCATTTTTACTTCATTTTGCATAAAGAGTAGATTTCCATCAGCGAATTTATCACATTCTAGACACACGTTCAAAATGCTGATACTCGAATCACAAAATTCCTTTAAATCCAAGACGAAATCCAGGTTTTTGGAATAATCTTGAAAGGAAGCAATATATTAATAGTTGCAACAATTATATTACATCTATGCGTAAGAAAAAATAATATTAATTAAGCAGTGTGGTGATAAATTTTGAGATTTTTGAGATTTACGGAAGTAGTTTCTAATATCAAAATGTTGGATATAAAAAGCATTAAAAAATTGGTTTACGGAAAAAACGTAGTTTTTGGAGCACAATAAAACTTAAGGAAAAGACAAATTTACACCTTAGACAAACTTTGGTCGGTGAAAATTAGAATAAAAATCTTCTGCGCTAATTTTGATAAGAGCTCAAAACACTTATGCGCAAAATTTAAATTCTGCTTCTATCTTATAAAATACTTTCATCTTTTTGTTACAATCATGCTGGTGTCTATTTTTGATAAGTAACAAAAACTGGTTGTTTTAATTGATCGCATTAATAAGAAGTTCAGCCGTCAAATTTTCAACGCTCACTCCATCGACCCAATGCTGTTGTCTGCAAAGTTGGGGGGCACTTCCCACTTCTTACATACCCTCCTTCCCCATACATCCACATGATCAAATTCACCCGATGACCGCTCGTGATTGGCAACGCCGCATGCATATGCCCCCCTTTGTGCAAAAGCGACAGACCAGGTGTCATTTTCATCTCCCCCTCGCCTTTTGAGTCGTCATAAGGCAGACTGTCCGGATCATCGCCCCAGAATTGCAGGTTTCCGGCTGTGAATTTGTAGCCCAGACAAACATTTAAGGTCGCCAAACTTGAGTCGCGATGGTGTTTCATGTCTACATCGAAGTCCTTCGAGGGGTCCTTTCGGTAGTCGACGGTGAAAGGGTAGTTGTCGCATGTATCGCCGAGCGCAATGTACTCAGGGTATAGCATCTCGATTATTGGCGAAACGAATTCACGGCAAAACTGGTCAAATACAGGCTGCATGCCAATTTGAGCTGAAATACATGTTAGAAATAGGTTCAGAAATAGTTCACCATGATTTTTTTTGTCTGATTTTTTTGTGACTTTATTTCCTGAGGGGATGGTGTTTTTTTCGAAAAAAAATTTAAAACAAACTTTGAAAAGTGTAGACACTTCAAAAACGCATTTTCCGCCCTAAAAACAAGTTCAAATTGGCATCAATTGCCCTTTTCAAAATTGTCTTCAGTCTACTGATTCGGATAATATATCTATGCCGAATTCGCCTGCGCGCTTCAATGAAATATGCTTCCAACAAACACAGGTGTTAGAAAAGAATATTACGATACAAATCTTCCATTGACTTTGGATATTTAAAAAAAAAGCAAATCGCAAATTCAAAGTCTAAATCTAATCTAGCAGTCAAAGTGAAACTCTTGTAGCTGTTGCAAGAAACTGGAACAGCAAAAATGTAACAAATAAAAAAAAATTATCTAATTCAGTCAATTTTTGCACGCAAAAGCTAATTTTTCAAACAAAAAGTGCGTCATCTCAAGATTATCTGTACGTTAACTTTTGCTCTTTCAAAACTCCGTCAAAACCGGCAGATTGATCTTTTTAATAAACATTATCTGTTCCAACTTTTTGCAACTTATTACGTCACAATTATTATGTCATAAGCATGAATAACTCTAACCCAAATTACATCCACATCTGTTCATGCTACTGGGTCTCTTCAACGGGATCCCACTCCGCTCAACGTGTTCTAACTCCTCGAGAAGCAACCTCCGAAACTCCTCAGTGAACAATCCGCTTAAATAAGCAAATAGTAATACCAGATGACCAATTTATAAGTACGAAATGAAAAACTTCAACATTTAGTTTACATTACGAGGCCAAACTGTGCATTCTGTGCATTGTAAGCGGATTCCTACTTGTACTTTTATTTTTCTTCAATTATTACCGAAGTAAAGAAAATGTTAAGCAGAAACTCAAACTAACTTATTTAGTTTATAGACGCCCTTCACGTCTTTAGACTCTGTGAGAAGATTCCAAACAGGTGTTTCATCAATTTGTTCGTCGCCCGTTTTTGCTGATTTCTGTAGCATTTCCACAGCTGCTCTCAACTCCGGCTCAACGAACTTTTCCTTGAAAACTTCATTGTATGTAAACAAAGCTGGATGTAAATGCGGAAACTCAGCCCAGGCTTGATCTAGAAGATCTGCATATTTGATCCAAAACTCTGGTTCTTCATAAAATTTATTGAAATTGGGTTTTTTAGCTGACAATTCTCGTTCGCCAACTTCAATTGCCCGCTCAATGGCACTTTTGATTTTATTTTTATCCCCTTCGACCATTTTCGTAATAGAAAAAAAGTAGCCCGTTGCTTGAAAGTGGCACTGAAAGCTCGGACAACGAAAAGAAACCAATTTTGATCAGTTAAGTTTTATATATTTAATGAAAACCAGAATTCACTCTGGACGCAATGACGTCAAAAATTTTATAAAACTCTCGCCTTATCTGAAATCTAAACATTCTAGAATTGTTTTTGACAGCATCAAACCTTCAGATAACATGAACTCGATTCAACTTAGCCGCTGTTAATGTTATTTGTCTCAAGGTTGCTTCAGACAGAAAAACTGAACCATGACCAATTTGCAATTGCAACTTGACCAATTTTACAAGTGAACCAACTTGCTACAAACGATTTAGCTTGCATCTAACGATCTGAGTTTAAGTCCGGGGTGGCTTTCTAATAGAGTAATTTCGGTTAAGGTACACCGTCTGTTCGTCACGCTATCTTATTTTCGGCCGAAAAAATTCGTGCAACTTCTAAGTCTAAAACCAATCCTAATCTTAGTCTTATATCTCATAGTCTCAATAGATCTAGTGTAAACTAGTATTTGCGAGGTTTAGAATCCAGAACTGTTCTGAGGAAGAGCAACTGTTTGCTAAGTTAGGTTTATAAATAGTTTCAACATTACAAGTTATAGTAAGTTTTAGCCATGGATCATGATTGGTTAGTTCTAAGTGTTTTAGAGACGGAGTTATCAGGAATATAATAGGATATAATACTTACTTGTTTTGGACTGTTTCCAAAT